TCTTCATAAACTGCATTATAGTTCCCACATTTCTTCATAAACTGCATTATAGTTCCCGCATTTCTTCATAAACTGCATTATAGTTCCCACATTTCTTCATAAACTGCATTATAGTTCCTGCATTTCTTCATAAACTGCATTATAGTTCCCACATTTCTTCATAAACTGCATTATAGTTCCCACATTTCTTCATAAACTGCATTATAGTTCCCGCATTTCTTCATAAACTGCATTATAGTTCCCACATTTCTTCATAAACTGCATTATAGTTCCCCATGCATTATAGTTTCTTCTTAAACTGCATTATAGTTCCCACATTTCTTCATAAACTGCATTATAGTTTCCCATTATTTTCATAAACTGCATTATAGTTCCCGCATTTCTTCATAAACTGCATTATAGTTCCATTATAGCATTTCTTCATAAACTGCATTATAGTTCCCACATATCTTTAAACTGCATTATAGTTCCCGCATTTCTTCATAAACTGCATTATAGTTCCGCATTTTCTTCATAAACTGCATTATAGTTCCACATTTCTTCATAAACTGCATTATAGTTCCACATTTCTTCATAAACTGCATTATAGTTCCTACATTTTCCTGCATTATTTCTTCTTCATAAACTGCATTATAGTTCCCACATATCTTCATAAACTGCATTATAGTTCCCCATTTCTTCATAAACTGCATTATAGTTCCCACATTTCTTCATAAACTGCATTATAAATAAACTGCATTATAGTTCCTGCATTTCTTCATAAACTGCATTATAGTTCCCATAAACTGCATTTCTTCATAAACTGCATTATAGTTCCCCATATCTTCATAAACTGCATTATAGTTCCCACATTTCTTCATTAAACTGCATTATAGTTCCCATTTCTTCATAAACTGCATTATAGTTCCCACATTTCTTCAAAAAACTGCATTATAGTTCCTGCATTTCTTCATAAACTGCATTATAGTTACATTTCTTTCATAAATTGCATTATAGTTTTCTTCATAAACTGCATTATAGTTCCGCATTTCTTCATAAACTGCATTATAGTTCCGCATTTCTTCATAAACTGCATTATAGTTCCCTGCATTTCTTCATAAACTGCATTATAGTTCCGCATTTCTTCATAAACTGCATTATAGTTCCCACATTTCTTCATAAACTGCATTATAGTTTCACATTTCTTCATAAACTGCATTATAGTTCCTGCATTTCTTCATAAACTGCATTATAGTTCCCATTATAGCATTTCTTCATAAACTGCATTATAGTTCAAAACTGTATTATATTTCTTCATAAACTGCATTATAGTTCCCGCATTTCTTCATAAACTGCATTATAGTTCCACATTTCTTCATAAACTGCATTATAGTTCCCACATTTCTTCATAAACTGCATTATAGTTCCACATTTCTTCATAAACTGCATTATAGTTCCCATCCCATATTTCTTCATAAACTGCATTATAGTTCCTGCATTTCTTCATAAACTGCATTATAGTTCATTATAGTTAATTTCTTCAAACTGCATTATAGTTCCTACATTTCTTCATTAAACTGCATTATAAAGTTAGTTCCCGCATTTCTTCATAAACTGCATTATAGTTCCCACATATCTTCATAAACTGCATTATAGTTCATAAACTGCATTATAGCATTTCTTCATAAACTGCATTATAGTTCCTGCATTTCTTCATAAACTGCATTATAACATTTCTTCATAAACTGCATTATAGTTCCCACATATCTTCATAAACTGCATTATAGTTCCCACATTTCTTATTAAAAAAACTGCATTATAGTTCCCACATATTTTCATAAACTGCATTATAGTTCCCGCATTTCTTCATAAACTGCATTATAGTTCCCACATTTCTTCATAAACTGCATTATAGTTCCCGCATTTCTTCATAAACTGCATTATAGTTCCCGCATTTCTTCATAAACTGCATTATAGTTCCCGCATTTCTTCATAAACTGCATTATAGTTCTGCATTTCTTCATTAACCCACATTTCTTCATAAACTGCATTATAGTTCCCACATTTCTTCATAAACTGCATTATAGTTCCTGCATTTCTTCATAAACTGCATTATAGTTCCCATTTCTTCATAAACTGCATTATGCATTTCTTCATAAATTATAGTTCCTGCATTATAGTTCATTTCTTCATAAACTGCATTATAGTTCCCACATTTCTTCATAAACTGCATTATAGTTCCCTACATATCTTCATAAACTGCATTATAGTTCCCATTTCTTCATAAACTGTATTATTTCTTCATAAACTGCATTATAGTTCCCACATTTCTTCATAAACTGCATTATAGTTCCCATTTCTTCATAAACTGCATTATAGTTCTTCATAAACTGCATTATAGTTTCATAAACTGCATTATAGTTCCTGCATTTCTTCATAAACTGCATTATAGTTCCACATTTCTTCATAAACTGCATTATAGTTCCGCATTTCTTCATAAACTGCATTATAGTTCCGCATTATTTTCATAAACTGCATTATAATTCCCGCATTTCTTCATAAACTGCATTATAGTTCCTGCATTTCTTCATAAACTGCATTATAGTTCCCACATTTCTTCATAAACTGCATTATAGTTCCTGCATTTCTTCATAAACTGCATTATAGTTCCCGCATTTCTTCATAAACTGCATTATAGTTCCCACATTTCTTCATAAACTGCATTATAGTTCCCACATTTCTTCATAAACTGCATTATAGTTCCCACATATCTTCATAAACTGCATTATTGTTGCATATATGAGGTCTGTCTGAAAAATAACTGGACTGGTGTCACACACAATTTATTTCAATTACAAGCAACAAATGCATGGTTTGCCCTTCAAAGTAACTTCCCTTGAGTCTAATGCACTTTTCGATCTTTCTCTGCCATGCTTCTATGCTCAGCTGGGAGGATTCTTCTTGGATGCCCCTCATCTCTGTTGTTAGGGCCCACTTGATGGCCTCCATACCTTCAAAATGGATTCCCTTGATTATCCACTAGATGATCTCCTTGAACTTCGGGAAAAGAAAAAGCCTCACAGAGTAAGATCATGTGAATAGGAAGGTCGTTCCAGTATGGAACAGGTGCATTGTCATGGTGAAGCACCCATGATTTATCTTACCACAATTCTAATTTTTTCTCGTGCACTGAGCAAAGTAAACACCACAGGATTTCTTTGTAGACATGCTGATTGATTGTCTGGCCATATAACAAAAACTCACTGTCAGCGATGATGCTCACATTGAAGAATAGATGTCCCATTACTGTTCAGACAGACCTTGTACATGCAAATGTGAAAACAAAACAAAATGAAATAACAATAATGGAGAAAACAGCTGATATGATGGTCAATATCTGAAAGAAAAGATCATGTTTGTCTCAGATAAGTTCTAAATAGTAAGGAGTCTTAATGGAATGTATTAAAATTAAAGGATGAAGTTTAGCCATGTGGATAAATGTATAATTCATGGTAAAGCAGATTATCCTGAGTTAATTCGTTTTGTTTAATAATCTCCCAAAGTTACACTGAGCAAAATATATCGAAGTAGTAAAATTATTTTTCCCATTTTTTTTTTTATATATTCCATATATTCCACTGTTATATGTATATATAAAGACAAAAGGAAAAATTATTTTAGTTGACACATTTCATCCTCTGGGGAACTTTGTAAAGGCAAATGTGAGAATTATATTTTGCAAAAAAGTATTTATAAACAAAAGTAAAATGTTAGTTTTTCAAATTTTTTTAATTTAAGAGATGCTCATAAATATTCATCAGGTTAACTGAAAAGTTTAGGTACACTATGGAGGATGCTAAGTGACATAATTTAAAGTCTAAGAAACGAACAAAATTTAAATATTGATTGCATAAAGAAAAGAAAATTCAACATCATTTACTCACTTTCTACCATAAAAGACGTTTGCATAATTTCAGTAATATTTTTTATTCTGTTTATAAATATGTGAAATATTTGTGTTTATGAAGCAGATGTTTGAAGACAAGAATGAGTCAGTTTTATTTCCAACTCAAATGCCAACAAGCTCAACAAAACAAATGAATTAGAGTTTAAATTCAGTCATTTCCCTTCAGTTTAATTTTTAAAAACTGAAAGAAACTGACTGAACTTTTAGCAAACATAAAAATAATTAAAATGCTATCTGAAAACATTGAAGAAAGATGAAATATGATGATGATGATAATAATGCACTTTAAAAAAATATATGCTAACAACCTATGTTTGTAACACCAAACTGAGAATAAAAATATTCTAATGGATGCAAATTTCCTATTGTTTAAAATTTAATATGAGAAAACTGAAACATTTCAACTTTCCAAGAATTTGTTTAATTTTTTAAATTTCAAAAGTAAATATCAAGAACTTGTTGCGTAAAGATACTTATTACTTACTGATAATAAATACTTTCGATAAGGAGTAAACAAAACTTTTACTACTTTTTCCTGTTTTTATTAAATTAATTTAATTAAAAAACATGTTTTTTTTTCAGGAAATGCTTCAGATTTCCAAATTACGAATTATCTTTAATTATCTCCCTTGTTATTGTCTCCCTTGCACCATTAATATTTCAAAATTATGGCCGGTGTCGACATGATTATGTCCCTTGACAAATAAATCGGCACGATTATGTCCCTTGTCTTCTAAATATTACTTGATATTTTTATTTGTTTTTATTCAGAAATCATTTCAGATAAACACATTGCTTTTCAATATTTTTAAAATAAAAAATGGTGATTTTTACTGTAGACTATTCAATGGCAAGAGAATGAAGAAAGATGTATGAAAATAAAACTGTTTAAAATAATGAACAAAAATGTAATAAGTTTTTGTCAAACATTAACTTTCGTCTGAAAAAATGTACACACACACACACACACACACATACATATATATATATATAAATATATATATATATATATATATATATATATATATATATATATATCAAAATATCATTGCAG